CTCCTTGGAAGATTGATCACATACTCAGCTGTGAAATAAAGACCCTTACATTAAATAAGCTACTTCAATTCCTTGAAAGAACTTCAATCTCTCAAATTCTATTATCTCAAATTCTCTAACAAACATTTCCTGAATGTTTCATTCTCTTTCTCATCATTTTCTTTTATAATTATATTATCAGTATATACCAAGGTATCACTCCTCTTGCATCCAAGCGCTTTAGTCCATGATCTCCTTGACTCTATCTGTACCTAAAGACAAGCATTACCTTCGCAATTCCTCCAAACCAAGCCATTGGAGATTGTTTTAGACTATATGACACTTTAATCCACACATTTATTTTTTCTTAGTTTCCCTTTGAAAGCCAAAACGATATCTATATATATCTTTTCTCCAAATTGTGGTGAAGAAAAGCATTTTTACGTTGTGTTGCTCCAATTATCAACGAGAGCACTAAAGAAAGTAAAACTCTTACCCTATTCATCTTCCACATTAGAGCAATTGTTCCTGATAGCCCATGCAATAGGTTTATGTCTCTAGGAAGCCAACTGATCTACACTTACTATAAACACCCACTTGCATCCCACTCTTCTTTTCAAGAGGGAGGTCAACAATTTTCCAAGTTTGGTTCTTGTCTAGTGCATGTATCTCTTCTTCCATGGGGGAGAAGAGAGAGCTTTAAACCGCATGACAAGAGTCTGTGGAGAAGAATAAGGGATGGCAGGAAAAATTTTATGAGTTGTGCTGAGTGGAAGGTAGGGAAGGAGGAGGAGATTAATTTCTGGCATGATGAGTGGGTGGGGGAGTTCAAACTTAAAGATGGATTTCCTGGGATTTTTGTGATTGCTACTGACAAGGAGGCGAAGGTGGAGAAGTTTTTTGGGGGTGATGAGGATGATAGAACATGGTGTGTTAATGTTAGGAGGAATCTACAAGACTGGGAGATCGAGGAATACAGCAACCTTTTGTTCTGTTTAAATAAAATTAAGCTGAATGGAAATAATGATGAGAGGATATGGAAAGCTAAATACGAATGGGGATTTTTCGGTTAAGTCGTTCTACTGCAGCTTGAGCAAAAGGAGTGATGTTCAGAATGTGACTGCACCTTTTCAAGCTTATATGGAAAGTGAAGGCGTCTCCTAGAGCGGCGTTTTTTACTTGGGAGGCGGCGAGAAGCAGCATATTAACTACTGATATGTTAAAAAGAAAAGGAAACAATATGGTGAATAGATGTTATTTTTGCAAAGCTGATGAGGAATCATGTTACCATTTATTATTGGGTTGTCCTGTGATTAACAACATTTGGGCTATGGTTTATGGGCTCTTGGGTTTGTTTTGGGTTAGAGCCGGTAAAGTTAGTGGGGAACTTTGGGCGTGGGCGGGTTATTGTAAAAAAAATAGACATACATTCCTTATTCTACTTTCCATTTTTTGAGTTGTGTAGAAGGAAAGAAATGCAAGGGCTTTTGAGGGCATTGAAACTGATATTGTAAACATTATAAATAGATGGTTTCATACTTTTGGGTTTATTTTATTAGGTCATGATGTGAAAGAGTGGGAAGATTTAGGTTTTGTCCTGAACCACTTGATAAATTTGTAACTATTTTGTATACTGGTGGTACCCCCTTGGTACCTTTATGAATATATTTTATTTCTTTTGTTTTTTTTTTAAATGTATCTCTTCTTCCATAAAATCTTCTCAGTTATTGTCAGATAACGTTTAGATAAAGTATTAGAAACTTAAATGGTGTTTAAATTGATTAGAAATCTTTTATGTGAATGTCAAAATTTGTTAAACGTCGCAAACTTCATAAATGGAAATAATGGGGTGTTTACAGGTGGTGTATGCTCATATACCTTTCCTAAAACTATTAGATTCCAGATACCTAATTCTACCCCTTCTCTCTCCTACCCAACTCTCCGTTTTTTATGAATCTCGTTTTTTTTTTGTAAATTCTTCTTTTCTTTTTATTTATCATTATCGCACATAGATACAATCTAAATGAACGAATTCATTAGGTCAAATTATTGCATAAAAATAAATATCAGTAGTAGTATTTGATTGATGGTAATAGGAAATCACGATCATATGCTAATTGAGAAGAAAGTTTTGGTTGCATTTACCTTATTAATTTGATTAGGTGTTAACTCTTGAACTTACAAAATATTCAGATTCAAGTCTCTTCATCTTGAAAATACCTACTTGAATCTCATTGAGCCATGAAACTCATTCTCTATCATGGGCTAGTGTGAATGAGGCAATTTGGCAAGTGGCAAGGACCGATACAAGGATGGTGTTGGTGAAGAAGTCAAGTGAAAAAAAAAGTCCATCTACTTATCTTGAATGAATGAAAAGGACTTCACTTGAAAATAAGACAAAATTAGGAATTTTTTTCTCATCAAACATGATATTGATAGAGACAAAGATTACCCTGGTAGGTGGAAAGTAACACTTAAACCCATTTGAATTAGTGAATAACTGACAAATATACACTTAATAACTTTTAGATGTAACTATCATTTATCCTAGCTATGAACATAAACAAAGACAGTACATCCAAGGACTCTTGAGATGAGGTTATTGGGTCACTTTAGATCAAGACAACACTGAGGAAGTGTCTCGTTCCGTGCCAACCCTAGAACCTAGGAAGGTGAATAATTGATTATGTAAGTTGCCATAAGCATAGGTTCCTCCAATAGGTTTTTGGAACATCTTGGTGAAAGGAAGGCTGAAGTCATATTTAGCAAACAATTATTCTTCCTTTACAATACTTCATTTTGTTGTTGAGCATTTAAGCACGAGGATTCATGTAAATTCCTTCTTTTAGAGAAACAGAGATGAACTTTAATCAAAATAATATCTTGCATTATCGTATTGGAATGTTCTTTAGCACCAAATTGATTGTTAATCATGGTAAGGAGATCTAGTAGCACATAGCTTACATCTGTAACGGTTAACTTGCTTGGGCAGGGAGTATAAGTGCTAAAATTGAGTGAAGTGCTGATCGTATGATCTTTGTCTCATACGTAAATAATCTGCATCTTCCTAATAGCTTCATCTGATATAGTTAATCCTTGAAAAATAGAAAAGTTAGCTCATAGTTGAAGAGAGCATGCAACACTAGGCTTCTTCAATGATTTCAAAGGCCCGTTATTTTCTTGATCTCATCCTCATTGAACTTACTGCGATCTTGAGACTTTTCTTGATTTAGTTGATTCATGGTAAGGCTGGGCTGACCTAGATTTTCTTTTTTTTTTGTCCTCCTTGGTGGCCCCACTTTCTGCTTGGTGGCTTACCTTCAGGTTTCCAATACTTTTTTTAGTATGCATTGGTTTCTTGCAATGACCACACCAGAAGGGATCCTTGTCATCCCTTACTGGGGTTCAAGATAGCCACCCTGCAATTCTCTTAGTCTGAATAAAAGAAATATTCTATTTTTGAAATGGTACCTCTTCCTTGAAAAGATTATGGACCTTGA